CCACTCCCCTGCCCCCCACTCCACATGCTCAACGAGTCCTTTATGGCCTGGCCTTTCAGTAGCACGGCTTACTGGAGCCCAGCCTCTTCTGGAAGCACCCTCCTCACCTGGCTTCCAGGATGCCCTCTCATGGCCACTCGTCAGCTTTCTTGGCTGAGCCTTCCTCTCTCTCAAGGCTCCCGGGGCCTTTCCTTGTCCCAGCTCCACAGGGGATCTCTGTTAGTCTCTGAACTCCATCCACTCCCAGGTTTCTCCATCTGGCCTGGATTGCTCCCTTGAACCTTCAGGTTTTTAACTGCCCACCCTCTTGACATCTCCCTTGGGAGCTTGACAGCCCTGCCAACCCCACAAGTCCAAAAGTCAACTCCTCATCTTCCTCCCTAGTCACCAGCTCAGCAAACGGCGACTCCATCCTTCACGTTGCTCAGGCCAAAACCTTTCAGGAGTCATCTTTGACTCTTGCTTCCATCATATCACACATCCAACTGATCATCAGTAATTCCTGTTGGGGTTACCTTCAAGGTAACTACAGGCCTGGCCGGTGTGGCTCAGTTGGCTGGAGCGTTGTCCCATTCACTGAAGGATCACGGGTTCAATCCCTGGTCACGGCGTGTATGGGAGGCGACCAATCAATGTTTCTCTTTCTTTCTTCCTCTCCCTTCCTCTCTCTCTCTAAAATCAGTAAAAGCATATCCTCCGGTGAGGATTAAAAAAAAACTTAAAAGAAGGTAGCTAACTCTGGAATCAGATCACTTCTCACTGCCTCCATCACCGCCACGCCTGCCAGCCCAGTGCCTGGAATGTTCCCCGCCCATCCCCGCCCCCAGGTGTCTCCTCAGCTCATTCTTGCTCAGGTGGTACCTTCTCCGTATGGCCCACTGTAACATTGTATCTAAAACTCCAGCCCTCCCTCATCCTCGGCTTTACTTTCCCCACAGCACTTATGCCTTCTCTCACCCTACAATGTATTTATATTGTTATTCTGTGTCCCTCCCCTTCCAAGAATATAAGCTTCAGGACAGGGCTTGTTTTGTTCACTGATATATCCTGAGAGCCCAGAATGTCTGGCAATGGCACACACTCAGTAAATATTTGTTGGATGAATAAATGAATAAATGAATGTAAAGCTCTCCTCATAGGCTAGCATTGGATTACTCTTATGACTGGAAGGGAAGTTGGACCTAGTCAAATGTGATGTCAGGAGAGGGCTCAAGGCCCTCAGACACTTTAGACTCTGTTGTGTTGGTTTTTCTCTGCCCCTCACCTTCCCAGGACCTCCTTCCTCTTCCCTGTCGGAGCACGGCACCTTACATGTCAGGCCGACAGCCATCTTAGGGCCAGAGCCCCATCCTGCCAAGCTAGCACCCATGCCCTTTACAGCCGGCACCCAGCTAGCCCTCTGATCTCTTGAGAGGCACCCAATGAGAGCTGGGAGTGTTTATTCCCAACTGAGAAGAGTCATCCGCAAGAGGAAAGGCAGGCTGGGGAGGAGGCAGCAGACCCCATTCTGTACCCACGTTGAAGAGGGCACCCTGAACTGGGCAGCCCCCAGGAAAGGTAAATGCAGCTCCACTAAGCTGAGTGTATGTCAATCTGGCAATGTCTGACTTAGCCACACAACAGACAGCTTAGGTGGGTAGAGATGGCAGAGGAGCTGTGGGCTCTCAGGGTGGAAGCCAGTATCAGGGAGTCAGGAAGCTGGTCAGGAGGACAAGGTCCAGGGCACAGGGCCAGGCTGGCTGTGGTGGGAGACAGGATGCGGGAGGAGATGGGCATGTTGGTGCCCTGCACTGCAGCAGGGAGCTGGCTGACCCTGAGAAGGACAATCCCAGAGGAGGCTGGGGGACCAGGAGGCCGCAGTGAGGAATGGGGGGAGATGATCTTTGGTGGATGGCCAGCCCCCAGCCCTGCCCCCTCCCAGGCATGTTCATATGGGCAGCAGCAGGGCTAACAGAGGAGCTGACCCCAGTAGTCCTTGAGGTCAGAGTCCCTGAGGTCAGGTCCCCTCTGATTACTGAGGGTGAGGACTGGCCCTTTGACCTGGATGCCTTCTGGCCTTTGAGGCCCCCTCTTCCCCACTGAGGAGGCATTTGAAGTCCTCTGCCACTTCCCAGCTCTGCAGCTCCACAGAATCCTGAGCCGGGGAGAAAGAGAACACAGGACCGCCTACCCCAAGCCCCACCTCCTTTGGACTTCTCAGACTGAGTTTAAAATAAGCGGTAAGGCACTGTTTGTGAAAGCTTTGAAAACGATAAAGTGGCTCTCCGGATGTTAATGATCATCCCGGGTCTCCACTCTAGCCCCTCTCCATAGATGGGCAGAGTGTGCATCGTAAATGCACATCTGATCCCATGGCTGAGTAACCCCGGTCTGGGCTTTCCCACTGCACTTACAATAAAACCCTCACCCCTCACTGTGGTCTCTGGGATGTGCCCTGGACTAACTCCTGAATCTTCCTCCAGGGAACATACCACACCCTCCTTCCATTCCTCGAAGGCAGCTGAGCCCACTCAACTCAGGGCCTTCTGCCCAAACTCTGTCCTCTTTCCCAGGCTGACTGGCTCCTTCAGTTCACATGCTACTTTCTGCAGAGGCCTTCCCCGACCACCTGATCTAAACCAGCCCTCCTGTTATTAGAATGAGTTTCCTTTTCACTGTCAGCCTCTCCCTGCGGACTGTCTGCCCATGAGGGCTGAGACCCTGTCTATTTTATTTCTGTATGTCCAGTATTAGCATAGTGCCTGGTACCAAGTAGGACTTAATAAATATTTGTTGAATGAATGAATGAATGAATGAGTGAATCCCTACTGCCAACGTGCAGGGCTGAGATAACAATGAGTTATTTATTGAGGCTCAGCATATGCCAGGAATTCCTGCAAATACTTCACAGGCATCGTTTTCATTTAATCTTTACAATCACCCAAGGAGAGAGGTGCTATTATTACCCCCATCGTGAGGGGAGATACTGATAAAGACACGGAGAGGTTAGGTGACTTGCCGGTGGTCACACCAGTACTTAGCAGCAGCGCTGGAATAGGACATAGCGCAGCGACGTGGGGCGGTCCAACTTCAGTGCCCACCTTCTTAAGCACTAGGTTATGCTGCCTGGCAACCCTGAGGTCTGGTGAGGTAGCTATTGAGGGGGGCTGCTTGGACTATACCGTCGTTCAGTCACCAAGGATTGTTTGCCATTCCAGTCCGGTATTTCCCTATCAGCTTCTGCCAGGAGGAAGTGGGAAGGTGGGGGATCCCAACCACTGTTCTGCCCCAGTTATCCACCCCAGGGCAGCAGGGACCTTCAAGCCTGGACAACCTCTCAGCCTATCCAGAGACGCACAGAGTTATGCAGCAGCTCATGGACATTTGTTCCCAAGAAGCCTCAGGTGTCCTGCTATGTCCCTCCCTAGAGGTCACTGGCCTCTACTCACATACTCCAGGGTCAAAGGTGTCCCTAACTGCGTTGGCAGCCCTTTCCATTTAGAATGTCTCATCTGCCCAAAGAATCTTCTTACACTGGGACCAAAACATTCTCTTCCTCCTACGCACTGGTCCACACAGAACAAGCTCACTCCCTTCAGATGTCCCAGAGACACCTCCACACCCCCACTCAGCTCCTGTGGGAGTTATGGTCCCACGTAACTATGTCCCATCTCCCCTCACCATCCTAACCTTTTGGTTTTCCCAAAAAAGGCAAGGACAGCTTTTCTCCCAGTCTCCACACCAGGCCTTCCAGACTGTCCAGATGCACAAAGGGAAAGTGGACATCAGGGTTCCTTTGGCCTTCACCCTGACGGGTGGAGAGGCCCAAGAGGATATGGCAAGCAGAGAACCTGCCCCAGAGCCCCAGAACCCAGGGGGTGGGGTGGGCACAGGGAAGCTCTGCCCTTTGGCCCACAGCTTAGGGCCAGGATTTGGCCCATCCTTCCTGACCTTCCAGGACAGCCCCAACCCCATTGGACTCTTCCTGACCACATTGGGAGGGACATATCTGGGCCTCTAGCTGAAACCATGGTCAGCCAAGAGTGACAGAACCTCAGACTCTGAGGCGCAGGGACCTGGGAGTTAGCAGGGCGGGTCTACCCCCTGCTCCAGGGCCTGGGGTTCTGCTAAACCAGCTACTGCTGTCCCCATTCCCTTGGAGCCAGAGGAGGCTCCCTCCCAAATTCCCTGAGGTCGACTCACCAGCTCACTTCCCCTGGCATCTCCTCCTGAAGACGCATGCAGGTTCTTCAGACCCCTGGTATCGCCTGGCTAAGGAAGCCACGCCTCGGGACACTCGAGGTCTTTCCCTCGGGGTCACTCCCTGAGTTCCACCCCCCCACCTCCACTTCACCGGCCGCTGCCCGTC